GGAACAGGAGGAACAGGAGGAACAGGAGGAACAGGAGGAACAGGAGGAACAGGAGGTCTGACGGGACCACTTCTGAGAACCTCCTGAAAAAAGACTAATTGCTTTTATTGATCAGTTGATTGATGCGTTAGTGACGTTGTCAGCTGACACAGAGTGGTGTGAAAGGACCGCGTGAATCCTCATCTACACCTCCTTCTCCTTCTCCTTCTCCTTCTCCTTCTCCTTCTCCTTCTCCAGACTCAGACTTTATTCCAACACTCCTGGAATGAAAATCCATGTATCGATCAGGGACGACCTTTAAAGCGGGACCGGTGATTGATTATCTCATCATCGGTTCTCGGTCCATTAGTCTTCGTTTACCGTGAACCGACGGTCCGACTCTGTACCGTAAACAAACCGTATTAGTGAAGCTAAAGACGCGACGGCGCCTCTTCAGGAGCACAGAACAACTACAGCGAATCTAAAGTCACGGACACATCGACCCCTCTGACTATTACCCCAGGGCTATTTTACTGCTTCCTGGGGCTCCAGGTCGGAGATTGGAAGTTATTTTTGGCTGCCCCGAGTAGAGACAGACCGGACACCGGCTCGGACCGGGGCTCGGACCGGGGCTCGGACCGGGGCTCGGACCGGCGGAGGGAACCCGGAGGATCCCGGCGGAGATCTCTTCGTTCTTTCTGTTCCGTGAAGAACAGATGAGACAGAAGACAGGAGAGAAGGAGAACACCAGGTGATGTCCACCAGAGGTCCACGGACCAGACTTCAACCAGCCTAAATCTGAGAGGAGAGAGGAGGAAGAGGAGGAAGAGGAGGAAGAGGAGGAAGAGCAGGAGAGAGGAGCGGAGTTTCTTTGTTTACGGCTGCCCAACTATGGGAGGTTGGAGGAGAAGCAGCCTCCTTCACAGACCGATCCACGGACTCTCAGTCCAGGGTGAGTTCTGAGGAGGACTGCTCTGTGGTCAGTCAGACTGGTCTGTGGTCAGTCAGACTGGTCTGTGGTCAGGAACTCACGGAGCTCGGATTATTCTGCTGACTCTAAGAAGGACTGAAAAAAAAAAAGAAAAATACTCCGTCGACCGCGAAGAGAAGTTTCTCAGAGACAGCAGGTGAGAAGTGGTCACGAACACACACACACACACACACACACACACACACACACTCTCTCTCTCTCTCTCTCCTGTGCCCCCCCCCGTACACACCTGTCCCGTGGGTGCATGTAAGTGAAGGAGCAGAAAGCGTGAAGGAGACCACACAAACGTGTGGAGGCGTGCGCGTGCGCGTGCGTGGGTGTCGGTGTTTCAGCTGCAGTGAACTTCCACTCTTCAACTAACGTTTAATGTTCCCTCACCAAACGTGTGCGGGTGCGCGCGCGCGCGCGTGTGTGTGTGCGCTCGTTGTTCTATTTACACACGGCTGAAGGATCACGAGAGAGAGAGAGAGAGCTGAAAGCTGGGCATCATGGGTGAGAGCCGTCCTCACCCCCGGAGGGAAGAGCAGCAGCAGTCTACAGACCCTGAACGCAGCAGACT